AAAATGAAGCGTTTATAATGAAACTTTGTTCGCATCTCTATAGCAACCAAGAGGCATTATGGGTAAAAGTACTCAAGGCTAAGTATAAATGTGGGATGCAGGGTATGCCTAAAGTGTAGAAACCATGCAATTCATCCCTTATCTGGACCAAATTTCAAGAAAGGTTTGGGTAAAAAAATTGGTAATGGAATCTTGACTTCCTTTTGGTGTGAGAACTGGTCTAATTTAAATATACCTTTAACTGATCTTGTGTCGAGTCAGGAAGGACTAGCTGATAAAGACAAGTGCGTGGCAGACTATGTAGTAGACAACGGTGACTGGGATAAACAAAGATTAGAGCAGTGGCTTCACCCTCATATTGTTGATCGAATTATTTGTGCACATCCACCCCATGAGGAGAGATGAGAGGACAAATTTTATTGGAAGCCATCCACTGATGGCTATTTTTCTATAAAATTTGCATACAATTTTCTTTTTGCATGTACAACCCAATACATAGACAACATGTGAAAACTTATATGGAAATGGTTGGTACCAGAGAAGATTAAATCTTTCATATGGCTCTTTACTCATGACAAAGCCCATACGGCTTAACTTAGGAGGAATAAAGGTCTTGCAGATGAAGCAACTTGCCTGTTTAGATGTAATCAGGAAGAAGACTCAATGCATTTGCTGTGAGATTGTCGAAATGCTAAGGAGAGATGGCAGTTGGTGGTCAAGCCTTCTATATGGAACACTTTTTTCTTTCTTCAAAGAGCGGGACTGGATAAGATGGAACCTCACTCATGAAGGAGGCCTGGATCATACAAAAAAGATCCCTTGGCCAACGTTTTTTGGGTATATTTGTTAGGATATTTGGGTGATCAGATGTAATTGATTGTTCAACACCTCAAGCAGAGAAGCTTTTTAGAATGCAAATGCAAGCTTTTTCCGAGCTTGTTTGGATCAGGATTTAAAACAAAATCACCCCTTCTACCAACACGCACCTTTGCATAGGTCATGAGGAAGCAATTTAGAAAAAGGAATGGTCATGATTGAAGTGGATGGATCAGTTTTAGAAGATGGAATAAGCGGATGTGGAGTAGTGATTAGAGACTATACAAACCATTGGATCTGTGGCTTTAGCTGCAAATTGATAAATGTTCCCTCTACCATAGCTGAAGTGATTGGAATTTTTCATGGTCTCAATAATCTTTGTTGAGAAAAGGGTTCTAGGAAAATGGCTTTATACTCTGATTGTTTAGAAGCTATTAACCTAATAACTCGAGGATGTGATGAGCTCCACTCTTTCAAGGACATCATTGTGGACATCGGATTTCGTTCGCGTAGGGATTGGCAAATAGTTTCCAACATGTCTATAGAGAGGATAATTCTTATGTTGATTATTTAGCAAAATTTCCTTATAGTAATGACAACATATTTTGTATCTTTGATCCCCCTCCACCCATTTAACCTTTAGCTAGAGGTTGATGAAGGATGTTAGTTAGGTTTTCCTTTTTAGTTTCTTTTCTTTTATAGCCTAGGTCTTTTTTAAGGTTCTTAGTATCGAGTCTGTGTTCCAAAAAAAAAAAAAAAAGATCTCGCACAATGATATGTCCCTGGATTGTCTTCTTTTTCCCTCCCCAAAAGGCTGATATTCTAGTATGTACCATTGAGCTCCACATCCCTCACTCCTCACAACGTTCAGGTGATCGTGTTCATGGATTTTAGCTTAATGGGTCTGAATCTCACTTATCCGCTACGGATCTTCTCCCATTTATTGGGCCTGGCCCATTTTGTTTAGGCCTACATAAAATATTATAAATAAATTAGATGAAATCGAACCCCTGGAATGAAAAGGGCAGGAAAATGCAGTAGGTAGTGTGAGAAAGAAGCGTGAGAAGAGAAGAGAAGATAAGAAGAACAGGAGGGAAAGGAAAGGCGTCACGTGGGGGCATGTGAGTGGGAAAAGGCATGTGGAGCACTGGGCACGTGCGAAGGGGAAGGACGACAGTGAGGAGTGAGGACCGATTGATTGAGTGGATTCCGGAGGGGGTGACGTGGAAATTGACCACCACAATCCCTTTCGCTTCAAGGCTTCGGCCTTTTGAAAACCCGACCTCCCACTTCACATGATCCCTGACACCCTCTCACGTGCTCCCTGGGCCCCACACCCCCCCAACGTCCCAATTTATTCATTTTTACTTCACCCACTTATATTCATTTTTATATTCACGTCAAATTTTATTTATTAATGCCACTAAACTAAAGTACGATAATTAAGCAAGCTCTGACGGTAATAATTGGCTGTAAACAAACCCTGTCCGGTTTAACCTCGGGATTAGAGCTGCCTCCCCCCGCTCAGTCGGTGCGTCCTTTTATACTACCTGTATTATTCTCACCGATTATATTTTAATTTTTAATCTGTTTCGTGTTAAAATAATTTGAATTTCAACTTAACCAGTTCATCCGAAATTCAACATGTCATGAGCGTGTTACCTGTTCCATACTCCTTTTCTCTTATTTATGAAATAAAAAGAGAGAGTATTTTTTTGTGTGTCTTTGATATAAATCAACTCATAAAATTTATTATACTATAGATATACAATCCCTGACTCATTAATTTTTTGCGACTTTTGGGGTATATAAATTTTAAGATTTTTTTTTGTTTTAGTAAAATATGCCGAAAATGTGTTATGAACATTGTATCTTATTACTTCCATAGTACATTATTATGTTCTCTTTTTTTTGCGTAAAAATTAGAATTTCTGAATTTTTTATTGCAATTTTAGGAAAAATTACAAAGGAAGAATCTGAAAAAAAATTTACTGTTTAATTATAAAATTTTAAATTAGAAATTACTACAAAGACGTGTTAGTATTTGCTTTTTAAATATAATTTTTTTACTAATATAATAATTAATATTGATTTAAAATTACAAAAAACAAATAAGGAAATGTACATGAGAATTAGAATCCGTTTAGAACAGTTTATAAATAGTTTTTTAATAATAATTTATAAAATATTAAGTAAATATATGAGAAGATTTTTATGTCTATGTAGATAAAATGTATTTATAGAGGATTTTTTAAGACATCCCAAACAGGCCTTTGGAAATTTTGGACGCGTGAGGATATTACCGGCAGTACCTAACGAAGCTTGATTAGAGTTGAACAGAAAAGCAAGAGGGGGAGGTGACAGGCGAGATTAAAGTGAAAATGAGGGAACAAGCCACGTGGATAAAATCAGGGCCGTCCGTTGCATGAGGTTGAGCTGTAAGCGTCGTGCAAAAACGTGAACAAGGGAATATAATAACAGGTAATGATAAGGTAGAATTAGCCCGCAGGCCACAGCAAAACAAAAAATCATTAATTAAAACATAAATTATTGCTAATAAATCAGAAAGTTAAGGCTGGGGGTGGCAAAATAAAAAATAAAAATGAAAGGAGGGAACAATTAGCACAGGTCCCAGAGCATTAAAAATTATCAGGAGCAGAGGAATCCTGGTGTAAAACTTGGACACTAATGGAGGGACAATATCAGGAAGAAATCGGTGGTTGCATTATTTTAATTAACCTTAATCATTGTTAATTAATGTGATTAACAAATAATTACTCAGGAAATCTTGGTGAGTAGTAGTACAGTACAATTTGCTTTACGGTCACAGAAAACTGGTATGTTAAGGAAAGGAGTAATAGAAGCAGCGAGAGGAGCATGGTGTTATCTGTGTACGTGACAGCCCACCACTGTGCTTCTCACTCACCCCTTAGATTCCTGTTTACTACACCACCTGATCACTGTTCATTGCCTCAACTACACCTTCCTCCCTTTTTGTTTCTCATCCTTGCTTCCCAGCCACGCCACCTCTGGCTACCTTCATTTTTAGCATCTTCCTCTTTCTCATGATTTTTTCTTTTTATATTTTTTTCAAATTATCTTTTAACTTTATATATGTTTCACTATGGTCATTTAAATTAATAGAATTGAGAAAAAATTCCCAAAAACAAGAGATTAAAATTGCTAAATCTCAATTCAGTTTTGACAATACTTTAATAAGGTTTATTAATAACGAATTTTTAAATAACAGCACATTTTTATTAAAAAAATTATTTGGGATTTAGTAATTTCAAACTTTTTTGTGAGATTTACTCTAATATTAACTATTAAACATTTTAATTTATTTTATTCAACTATCTGATATCTGGTGTTGAATCAACAGAATACATAATTTGTGATGATTAAATGAAAATGTGCTTTTTATTAATTATAAGTATATTTTTATTGAAAGTATGTTTAAACTATTATTAGATGCTAAATATAGACAGCTTTCACAATACAAATTCAAATATTATTTTATCACATTGTGAGAAATTGGTTCTTTTCATTAAACCCATACACTCATTAGTAAACGAATGTGTTCTAATATAATGGCAAACATCCTGAAGGGTTCTAGCATTTTTTGATTTAAGTTTATATCGAATGAATTTTAGATTCATCACATTGAGAGGAAGTCTAATCCACCATTTTCTTTGTAAAAGCCCTAAATTGATTTACTTCTTATATGCATATAATAGGGCCACCTTTGCTTTGTTGCTTACTTTGCTTAAACAGGATAAGTAGTGTGTATATGGTTTTCCATTAATTCAACAAAAAAGAGAATACGTTATCCACTATTATCGCTACTAACTTTTGTGGTTGAATTATGAACTAAAGAAAAAAAAAAGTTTCCAAAAATTAAAAGGAATTTTTTTTTTACCAGCAAAATTAAAAGGATTACTAGTCCAAAGAAAAAAGGGAAAGGACAGGGGGGGGGAATTGAAAAAGGAAAAAGGGCAGGAGCTAAATAAAGAAAAATAAAACTGCTTAATTAACTTTACAGAACTTGCAAGTCACTTCCTATTATTCTATCTATATATTGCCTGCATGAAAAAAGATGCTCCCAAATCTCGTATTTACATTTTTGCCCTCTCATTACTCCTCAAAACCCCACCTCCCCTCTTCCTGATCTCCCAAGAGTCAGAGACCCCATACTTCGCTTCTCTCTCTAGATAACTGCTCCATTTCTCTCCAGCTCAGACTCAGTCTCTGTAAACGAACGTTATATGTTAATGGAAGTACCGGAGTGTTTTGTCGGTGGCTATTTCTCAGCCGGAGGAGATCAATTCTCCCCGGACAAGCGCCATGGTGCTGACCAGAAGGCCGGTGAGCCCTTCGCCATTGACGACCTCCTTGACCTCTCCAACGCGGATGCTATGATCATGTCCGACGGTTTCTTCGATAATGCCGCCGGCAACTCCACTGACTCATCCACTGTCACCGCCGTTGACAGCTGTAATTCTTCCGTCTCCGGTGGTGACAATCATTTCTCCTCCGGTTACGCTGGCTCCCGCGGCTTCGGCGATCCTCAATTATCTGGAGAACTCTTCGTTCCGGTAATTCACGGTTTTCACGTTCACTAACGCTTGGAATTTAAATTTCTTCAACTGTAACTTCCATTACGTAGTTCTGTTTAAAATTTAAACGAATCATTTTATTTTTACTCTTAAAGCTGACTGCGATTTTCGAACTAGTTCTACACAAGAATAAGTCACGACGTTCGAGCTTGATTCTGCCAGTTTGGTCTTTAAATTTTATTGAACAAATGAAGATGCTGCTACTTTTAACTTTGGCGTGATAATCTGAAAATTGATTTTGTTCTTCTGGATTCGATGGCAGGATGACGACTTGGCTGAACTGGAGTGGCTATCGAACTTCGTGGAAGACTCGTTTTCTGTCGAAGATGAGCTAAAAACACTCCACCTCCTCTCCGGAACCACTGCTTCCGCCATCGGCACGAAACCTCAGACACCAGATTCCTCCTCTTCCTCCGAAACAATTCCACCATTCGCTGCGGACACCGATCGAAACGCACCGCTCTTCCATCCAGAAACTCCGCTTCCAGGTAAAGCTCGGAGCAAGCGTACACGTGCTGCCCCCGGGGATTGGTCTACCCGCCTCCTCCACCTGATCACCCCGACGGTGGTTTCAGAACCGGCGCAAGCGAAGGCGGTGGCAACTAAGAAAAGGGAGAGTTCGAATTCGGAGTCCTCTTCGGGTCGGAGATGCCTGCATTGCGCTGCCGACAAGACTCCACAGTGGCGGACCGGACCAATGGGTCCGAAGACGCTGTGCAATGCTTGTGGAGTGCGGTACAAGTCCGGGAGGCTGGTGCCAGAGTACCGACCTGCGGCGAGCCCGACGTTCGTGTCATCAAAGCACTCCAATTCGCATAGGAAGGTGATGGAGATGAGGAGGCAGAAGGAAATGCAGAGGCAGCAACAGCACCAATTGGTTAGCCAGAGCTCAATTTTCGGCGTTTCTCATGGGGGAGATGAGTTCTTGATCCCTCATCCCACTGGTCCAGATTATAGGCACATGATCTAGTAAGTTCCAGAGAGAGTAGTATAAAATTTAGGATTATTGGAGAACAATTAATGATGAGCTTCAAAGTTCAACATCCAACAAACCTTTTCTTTTCTTTTTGGATGAGGCGAAAAATTTTGTCTTATAAGTTTGAATCTGTAGCTTTAGCACAATTCAGAGAGAAGGAAAGTAGTTGAAGGACAGGGGAGAAAATAGAGGATGGAGAACCTCATTTGGGTGTAGAAACAATCAATCCATGTACTCTAAAATTTGATTTAATTCGTTTTCTTCGCCGAATTTGGCAACATTAAGAAATACTCTATCAGATTTTAATCTTCGGCCACACGTATAATCATTCCATTCATCACAGAGTGCAGGGAACTCTAAAGTCCTTAATGCATTGCGCCGTCGTCGATCAATGTATACAATTTAAATTTTAAACTCTTTACGAGACTCTGGCTCGACAATTATTTGCTAATAAATTTTGTAAGAGAAAAGCGGTTATAAACAGCGGCAAATTTTCAAACTTGAAATTGAAAAGTGTAGCTGAAATGTCAAACCGCACCAATCATACAGCAGATTAAGGCAAGAAAAATAAGAAAAGAAGGAAAAAAGTGACTACTATAAATTTATAATGTCATGTGGGTCACAAAAAATGGATGTAGTTTTTATTTATTTATTTATTTATTTTTCCTGTGTGTTCGGAAACCAAAGGGATTTACCAAAAGAATGGAGCCAAGGATTGGCACAGTACTCCGTCACCAATGCGAGTCCTTTTCGTTTTGCGTAGTTTACTTAAAGTAACGAGCTGAAGTTTGCGGAGTAACTGATGAGTGGCCAATTGGTAAGAACGAAACAATGTATGTGGGCAGGGGTCATGATTTAGCAAAACCAGTGGGTTATGAAGTCATAATCAGTGAACAATTCTCTTGGAAATGAGTAACCAAAAAAAGGAATAATGGAGACACATTAGTATTTCAATACATTGAAAGTTAAACCCACGCGAGCCCCAAAAATATTCATGGATTCGATTAATAACATAGGAGAGTGAGATGGAAGGAATTACAGGTCCAGTTCTTAATATAAATCACTTATAACATATTCTTAGAAATAAATTAAATTGATAAAATTTTTCAATGGTACTTTTGTTAAATTTTTTTTTACATTTATAAATCATTCTCATATATCTTCTTTATTTCTCTCTTTCCCTTCACAAGTGAGTTATATTTATGAGCGGAGGGATATACTTTTCTAGTCTCATTTATAAGGCATTTTTAACATGTTTTACACAGACTAAGAAAAATCTTAAATTGTATTAACTCTTTATTAACATATAACATCTTTTCAACTTTATCTATATTTAATATATACACCTTTTAAAAAAAAATAACTATCTACATTATATTAAATAAAGGACGATATAGTATATTCATGGTAAAAATTTAATGAGGTGACTAATAAATAAGACTAAAAAATATCTTCTCTCTGCTTTATAAATAGGACTAGATGAATATATTAGAAGGCGAAGAAAGCAAGGAGAAGGATGGATTAGGGAAGAGGAAACCAAGGAAGAAGAGTGAATGCATACACATATAGGGAGGGGCGTGAAAGAGAAGGATGGAATTAGATGATGAGTGGCGCATAAGAAAGGGATTACGAAACCAATCCAACGTGGGAAGGTGAAGGTTGAAAGGAAAAAGAAGGGGTCATGTGAGAGAGTGAATGAAACAACATGGAGTGGGTACACATGGAGGACTACTGATATAACTGCCCACCTGATCCTCGACACTTCCCCTTCCTCTTCGGCCCCACCCCCATTTTCTTCTTTCCTTTTGTTAATCATATTATCCCCAACAATCATCATTTATTTTCTACATATCTACCCACCTCCTTCTCAATTTTTAATTTAGTACATTTACATTTTTTTCTTAATGAAATTCTCTAATTTTAATTAAAAAAAAAAATTACAAAGACTAACAGTAAAAATTTAATTAACTACTACTACTTACTATTATATTCTTCCTTCCTACCACCTTCTCCTCTGCTGCATTAAATATACTACCATGCTACATTATCATCCTCATCTTCCCCTTAAGGATATCTCTCTTGTCAATTATTAACATCTTTTCTCATGCCATAGCCACATAAACGTCCTCTATATATATATATATATATATTGTTACTGATAATTAATTATACCCCTTTTAGTAAATTAATTTCATATTTTACATTGATAGAATTACATGTGTTACATGTTATGGTATTGAGAGAAGTGCTATAAAATTCTAAGAAATAAATATAGTTACTAACAAGTTTCAACCATAAATTAAAAGAACAGCTTCTGATATTGAAATTTTTTAGCAGTTATTTTTTTTAAGAACTTCATAATAATATTTTCTCTTTGATTTCCGGTTATGTTTGGCATGTATCAACAAGAGTTTTTAAGATTTGTATGTTTTGTACACATTATTTGAGTATCATAATATGTCCATGCTTCTCTCTCAAAACCGAAGCTTCCTTCATCGATCATTTGAGTAAAGAAAATGATCAGTTTTCACTTTGGAGTTAAAAAAAAAAAGAAGTGTCGTCCCTGTTAATTTTAATTATCCTAGCTTAGGAAGCATCATTTTAACTATTTTACCCCTTTTCGAATATAATATAAGAATTCTTTTTTTGTTGTTGTTGACAATATATAAGAATGCTACTAATATCAATAATCGTTTACAATATTTTAATTTCTAAAATTAATTGTTATTTTATAGAATTATTTGAAAGTAGCCTTTCTATAGAAGATCTCTTCTTCCTCACTTTTCTAATAATACCTTTCTTCAAGAAAATGATTGCCAAACACGAACTTCAATAATCCCCCATCAAATAATTTTTCATATATATATACTTCGGTTTGATATCTTAATTATGATAACACACACTTAATAGTTTATATCAACTCTGATAATCTGCTTGGATTTTAATAAAGCCCATAATTAAGAATTCAATGTGAAAATATGAATGCTAAACTTTTATATATGTATGCTCAGAAAAATAATATATATATAAATGACAACTCATGAACAGTGGTAAACATGTTGAAGTTTAACGGTTCTTAATTTAAAAAATCAATTGATAATTAGTCAATCAATGATTGATTATATAGATCATACACAGATATTTTCCTAACGTGTGTGTTTGGTGTAAGAGATAGGTGGTGGCCGGTAAATATGAAAAGAAATTGGACAGAGTTGAAAATTCTTTAATTAATTACTACTACCATAACAAAAGTAAACCCTCCTCGAAGTTGGAGACGTTGAATTATTCGAACGAGTAAGACAAAACTAGGATTAATTAAAATAATATGAACAATTAAGGGAATAATTAACCTGCTCTCCAGTTTTAAATTTTTAATTTGTTCCCCCCTTCCCCCAGGCCATGTGACTCTGCTTGTGTGAGTGTCTTACAAATAAAAATATAAATAAATAAAGGCAAAACAATTTTAAAAAATAAAAGTAAAAGGAAAAGAAATAAAGCTCGTGAAGCTTTATACCCAGCTTTGCACGGCTATATCTATGTATGTCTGTATGTATTATGCAAGAAATAAAAGTGGTGGTATTTTTAAAAGATAATTTAAATAATAATAATAATAATAAATAGATATGTTTTTTTTTCTGCTTTGATAGATATCTCTTTATAGAAACCCTTCATGAAACTCACTTGCATACTAAAGGCAAAAGGAAAGGGTTTAGTTCCCACAAAGCCAAAGGCAAAGGGCACACAAACAATTACGTACGTTGTACGTATATGTACACACTCGTACGTGGACCCCCAAACCTCAACTTGAGTAATATAATTTTATTACACTCACACATTTTTAAATTGCATAAATTTGAAAAAAAACATAAAAGAAATAAAAAAAAAAAAGACTAAATTATGTTTGTATCCACTGAATTTTGCTATATAACTACACATGCAAGAATTTTTTCTATTTTCAAGAGAGATTTTGCCGATGTTTTTAAAATATGTTTGTGTGCGTGATTTTAGTATAAATTAGCACTTGAAATTTCATAATAATAATAATAATTCCAACATTATCATCTGCAAAAAATTAATCAGAGGATATACAAGATCTTTTTACTTTATGGATATAATATAAAATATTTAAAAATACAACTATGTTAAAAACTAGTGTGTGGGAGTGTGTTTGCATGTGGGTGAACAAACCCAGCACATGCAATGCGAATTGGTGATGAAATTCCCAAAAGAAATTTTAAAAAAGAAAGTGTGTTTGGTGACCCATTGGTCATTAAGAAGGGATCTTCCCATGTTATGTTTATATTATATATAATGTTTCTATATTCGTCCTTGTTCCCTGCAATTCATGTGGCCTATCAATTATTGCTTATACTGATGTCTCTAACTTTGTTCCCTATTATATGCTTCATAGTTAAGCATTCCTGGCCAGTAAACATTTTTGCCTTTTGGTTTTTTGGGTCAGTGCAATTATTATAATTATTAATAATTAATAATTGAAGTATAAAATTTCATATGATATATATATATATATATTGTAAATAGCGATGTGTTTAATTTTCTGGTGTGCTGAAATTGTGTTGGGTCATATACATAAACAAAGACAGAGACACATTGGAGAGTCATTATCGTTAGGTGATAAAAATAGACGACGGGGGGAGGATCAACAAGAAGCAAACGTAAAATGTGAATTGAATTAATTGTAAAGCTTTGTACTGCACAAAGTTGGGTGGTTTAATTCAATTTGTATATCTAATTCATATTTACTGATGATCTGGCTCCAATTCACCTTTTCTTCTACTACTAACATTTTCTTGGATAACCTTCAAATCTCTCTCCCTCTCTCCATTCATTCATTAATGTCCCCTACCTGTTCAGCTGAATAGAAAAATAAATTATTCAGCAAAAAAAAAATATTTGTCTAATTACTAAGAATATATGTGACAATAAGTTTTTGAATTTCATTATCGATATATGAGAATCTCACTAATAAGTAATGATCCTTAGATATTTTTATAGACTATTTTTAAACTGTAAGACATGTCCTAATCCTTTGAGAACTCTTAGGATTCAACTCAAGTACTCAACCAACTTTAAGCACAATATAAATTAGAAACTTAGAGCTGAGGATGATGATATATATGTTAGTTTTCCTTGTTTGTGTAGAACACATGTGAAAGGGAAGGAGTGCCAGGTGTTGGTTGAAGTGAAATTGCCTTAATAGAGTGGAATTTCTTTTCCGTGAATGCACAGAAAAATATCACACACACACACACAGAGATAGGTTGGTTGGTTGGTTATGATATTTTCTTGTGTGTGTCGGTAACTATATATATAGAGAGGAGTGTATGAAGAACACAAGCTAATGTTTCCTAGGTTGACCCATCTCGGCATAATCAGAAAGAGGTAGTTAGCAGGTAGCTAGGGCTTTGCATGCATGAAGTCGTCGTTGTTGGCAAATATCTGTTGCTCCTTTGAACTGGAGCCTCAGACCTTAAGTGAAGGCCAACTCACCCAAGCAAGGGTTTGATTCATCATACCTCATCTTTCCCTTTTCATTTATATATAAACCCTAGAAGACTCTGCAATATTTGGAGGCTTATGCTGTTCATCAATTTTATTGTGCTTGTGCAGGAAGTAGCTCAAAACCAGGAACCAACTGAGGCCTCCGCTACTGTATTCAACCAGCAGGTATTATAGTTTCTCTCATAAACTTGTGTGTATATACATATTAGTTCATAAGAAGTTCTTAATTCTGTCTGGTTGGGGCAGTTTCAATTTGCTCCACCACTATGTCAAGGATATATAGGCTTTGTTGGCAAACTTCATCACTGGTACAAATTATTAATTTTATGACTCCATTTTCGCGTATGTTATAGTTGGAGTAGAAGTAGCAGTATTTATAGTGCATCAGGAGAATGACTTATATATAAGACTCTTGAAAGAGAATTAATGTAAAATAAAGTCATCTTTACGACTATAGAATTTTGAAACCTACGATTGAGTTAAACTTCTATATTTACAAGGTTGTTAATTACTACATCCGGTCCTTAATATAAGAGATAGGTGACTAATTTGAAAAAATTAAAAAAAGTTAGTTAAGTTAGTTATTTGTAATAAATAAGTGTTGTCTTCTTTAAAATACCTTTACTAATAATGTGTATTGGTTATAACTATAATTTGATGAAATTTTTAACATATACAACTACTATAAGGACTAATTTAGGGAAAAATTGATAAATATAATAGATAAAGCGAGTTGAAATCTTATATTTAAAATCAAATTAAATATTAAACTAGTTCTTATACTATATTCGGTCCTTAATATAAGACCTTATTTGACTTTTATTTTGATTCTAAATATAAGATCCAAATCCACTTTATTTCTCATATTTATACATTTTTTTCTTAAGGTAGTCCTTCTAATAAGAATAATTCTAGCCAATATACTTAGTTAGTACGGATATTTTAGGAAAGACAATACCTATCTATTATAAATAACTAACTTAACTTATTTCCTTAATCTCTTCAAATTAGTCAACTAGCTCTTATAATTAAGACCGGAGGTAGTATCATTCTTTTAGTTGGTCACTTTTTGAGGAGTGCGAATAAAACATGGGATGGAGAAGGACAACTTTGACTTCCTGTTGTTAACAATTTGGATGAATCTGCAACTAATTAACGAAAATAGTGATGGATGGAAGAATGATATATTAATTTATTTAGATATAACAGACTTATGAGAAACCTAGCTCATGATTGAGTATAGATTTAATTAACAACTTGAGGGAAATATTATGAATGAAGGGAGTTGTAGGGGAAGCAAGGTCTGGGAGAGGAAGGCATCAGATCATGGGACAAAATGGAGAGCCAGTTCAGAAGCTGGTGGAGGAGCGTCGACACAAGGATCACAAAACTGGCCCCTGCATCTCCACTACTTCTTCTTAGAGATTTAGTACATGAGACCCTTTCTGCCTTTTTCTTCGTTTCTTGGATTCCAATAAGTTTTGTAATGAACTGATCATCCTTTTACAAGTTCTGTAATATATATATATATATATATATATATATGCATAAGGACATTATCAGCTTTAATTACAGTTGTGTGCAATTTTTGTAGTGACTTGATTGATATATTTATTACTCTAAGTTTTCCCTCTTACTTCCTTCATTTTCCTTACGAGCTTATAACATAGCTTGCACTTTTTTTTTTGTGGTTTTTTATTATTAAAACTACAGTTTGTATTGTTATATCTAGTTTTATTTAGGGACAATGATAAAAAAAGAACTTGAAATTTTGTAAATGCCAAATAAAGAATATCAGCAAAAATTTATTGTCATTTGCAAATTCAGACTTGTCAATATCAAATAAAGTTGTATTACCAAACCTGATTTGAGATTTATAATTTTCAACTTCTTTATCAAACCTGATTTGAGATTTATAGTATCTAACTTCTTTTCTGTCATTTTCTCTTTTTATCTAACTATACTAAAATTATCTACTAAAAAACAGTTCCCTCTTTTTGTGTGGAGTGTGGACTAGTTTCTTTTTTGTCAGAAGTTCTGACCACTTGACTCATGATGGATAACCTTCTCATGATCCAGCTGGCCGAAATAAGTGTTTTTGGTAAACAATATGGGCCGCAATATGGGGCCCAGGTCTCAAGTTTAAGGCCCACTTAGAGATATGGGCTCTCACTTAATCAGCCCTGATCAGTTTTTTAAGATGAAAAAGAGAGAGGAGATTTTGCACGGAATAATGAATCTTACCCTCTTGTTTAACATTTTTGAATAGCATAGCTTAGTTTATAATTTATGTTGTGTAGATTTTGAGCTCTTGCATGAAAATTGAAGAAGAAAACTTGCTATAAATTAATTATATGCATATATCAATTTACTTGACATCAATATTTTATGTTACCAATGATAAGCGTAACTATACACATGTTTTTATTAAAATTATTATTTCCAGAATTAATTATAAACACAAGCTAAAGGGAAATTATCAAAAGTTTCAAAAGACACGCCCAATAAAATGCTTAACGAGTCCAATGGCACCCAGAAAGAGGGATGCCAAAAAAGAAAAAAAAATTCCAAAAATGGGAGGAGCATGATCATAGAAAACTGGCCTAAATAGAAGAATTTGGCTTCTCCATCCGCTTACTCTCCATTTTCACTTCGATTGTAATTTTTACGATTCAGATTCAATATTATTTGAAAATATTATTATCATAACTTTATGTAAAAATGTATAAATGAATTTAAACTAAATCTAAATAGACTAAAGTTAAATAAATCTATGTCATAAAATATTCTGATAATAGTTTACATTTTTAAAGTGTTTAGATCAAATTTTAAGGGTTCGTTCAAATGAAACCTTAAAACTTTAAATTTATTTATATATTTTTGGTATACAATTATAACAATAATAATTTTGTAAAATATTAAAACTGAACAGCTAATATTAGTACCTCTTCTGGTTCTAAATATAAGAACTAATTAACTAATTTGAGTAAATTAAAGAAATAAGATAAATTATTTATTTGTAATAAATATGTGTTGTCTTTCCTAAAATATTCTTACTAATTAAGTTTATTGGCTATAACTATTATTATTAGAAAGATTATCTTGAAAAAAATAGATAAATATGAGCAACAAGATGGATTGAAATATTATATTTTAAACTAAAATAAAAATTAAATAAGATTTTATATTAATGATAAGAGGTAGTATAAGTAACCAATGTGCTATGCTATGTAACGAGAAGGAAAAGGGAAGTAAAAAGAGCCTAAGAAAAAAGCAAATGCAAGTTCGAGAAACAAGGAGAAAATTCAGGCAAAAAAAAAGGGGGGGGGGGAGAATGATATATGAGAAGAGGAAAAAAAAAAAAAAAGAAGAAAACAGGGAGAAGGGAAAAAGGAACAAAATTTTAGGGCTTTCCTCCACAACTTCGCGCAGCTCTGCGCTCAGGTTATGGGAGGGAACCTCTCAAGTGTCAACATTTCAAACGTACAGGGAGAAGCCCTTCCTTTTCAGAAGCTCAATTGATCTCACAGGGATCAACGGTCGATTTCAGCTGGTATTTTCTTCTCCTTCTAACTATTTTTCTCTCATTTATTTTTCCTGGGAGAACCATCTGGTCGGTTCAGAAGCCTTTACGCTATGCGTTAGGCACATTTCTTTTTAATTATTTCGAGCTGTTCATTTTTTGTGGATTTCTGAATCAAGGTCGACCTTGCTTATAGACTTGTTCTATTACTGTGGTTTTAGTCAGGGAGCTCACTTAGAATTGCTTTGCGGTTTATTTGGGCTGTTTTTCTACTTTTGTTTTCTCATTCTTTTTTACTATTTCCCGAACAACCTGTAGAGTATTAATCTAAAGGTATTAGACCGCTAACTGCCTCTTTTCTTTAGGAATTTTGTTCTCGCATTTTCTTCCTTGGTGGAGAATTTTGGCTTCCACGTGGGTTTGATTTATTGTGTTTCTGTTGACTTTCATATGCGAAAGGTGAAACAAACTATATATATGTTACAGATGAAATGAAATATAATATGCCTAATGCCTTTGATTGCTGTTCTTTGTTCTTCAAACTCCCTGCACTTGTAATTTTGCCTAAATCTATTCATTCCTCAGTTACCCTACTTTGAGCTCAACGCTGATAATAATTGGAAGCGCTATGGAAAGCACACATTGGCTTAACTGTCTAATTGCTGCTTTGCAGCTGTGTTTCTATTCTGTAAAGGCTAGAGAGAATATAATATGAGTACTACAGTACAGAGAACTCCAAAATCTGGTAGGCAGTCCCTATTTTTCCAAGACTTAGCTTCGCCTATTTCTTCTCGGAAAGGAAAATTTTCAAATCCAGGTCAGGCAGCCGCAGTATCTGCCCTAAGGCGTGAGAACTTTGGTGGTTCAGACCTTCCACCACCTCCTGTTTACACTTTGGAAGATAGATCAGACTTTTCTCCTGAATCAGGCATACAGGATTATCAGACATCGCCAGAACCTAAGTCAGACCCGAGAACTCCCATTCGAATTGCAAATAGGGAATTTTCCACTCCAGTAAAAAGCAAATCAGAGGTCAGCACGTCTTATTCTCTAAAAGGATTGCAGCAAAACCAACAGGGATCGGCAGGTTTGAGTTGGTGGTCACCCACGTCTGCAAAGAGTGTGGGTGAGCAAGATGAAAAGGGAAAGAGTTCACCAGTAGAGGGTGTGGTTCAACCTGGTGCTTTGATCACTCTTCCTCCACCGAGGGAAGTTGCAAGGCCAGAGGTTCAGAGAAATTCCTTGCCTGCAGGAAATCTTGATGAGGAAGAATGGGTTACTGTTTATGGGTAAATGTCTTAATTGCTGCAGATGTTTTTAAATTTTGCTGTAAAGTTAACTAGGATTTTTAACATGATAAATTGGCATATTAGTGAAAAGTTTTAGTGATAAAATGAAAAACCAAGGAACCAGAGATTTACTGAGAGATCAGTTGTACAGTCAATTTGAAGATTAAAAATCTGTAATGAACGGCAGGACATTTTCCTTCTCAATGTTCAAATGAGAAAACAGTTTATCATTTCTTTTCTTGGCTGTGAATGAAATTTCCAAGCATGTTGGTCTAATTTGAGGAATGTAATACTAGTCAAAATTTCTCTTATTAATATTTAAGTATATAATAATAGAGTATCTGCCATGGGGGTTTTTAGCCATTATTACTTGAATCTTTTGCTGAATTTCTGAAATTGGGTTAGGCTCTATTATGACATGCATTCATCTTAAATTCTTATACTCCTTTATGTCCTTTGGAACTGAATGTGTGGAGGCATCAGATAAGAGATGCTTAGACCTGATAGTGGAGCTGAATTAATTTACCCTCTTGTAATATATCCTACAGTCCAAAACAAAGAGTTTAGAAATGCTGAGACTCTAAGTGGAATACATAGCCCATAATCGAAACTTTTAATATGAAGATGCAAATCAATAATCTGAAAGATCTGATTTCCCTTTGAATATACCAGCACACTGGACACTTTTAATAGTGCTCTTTTTGTGCAGATTTTCTCCAGGTGATACCAATTTGGTTTTAAGGGAGTTCGAAAAATGTGGTGTGATTTTGAAACATATTCCTGGTCCTGGCGATGCTAATTGGGTGCACATATTATATCAGGTTCTCTTTCTTTGCCTTGTTTTAACTTATTGATTGGCATTTTCTTTCAACAACATTAGTTTCAAGTGGTCCTCTATGAATGCTAGAAGTCTAGTACTCGTCATATTGCATTTAAATATATTCTGCATAGATATGTGTGCTTTTTAATGAAAATGACACGAGGTGATTCCTGTGGACTTTTCTTTTAGTGGGCTGACTTTTATCTGTTGAAATCTAGGATCCTGTTACTGGACTTTCCTATTGATTTTGCCAAAGTTCCACCACTGTCTAACTATGACACCCTTCTATTTTGGAGGCATTTTATGAAAGCTTGATTGTGCATTAAATCTGAAAACATTGCTTCGTTAGTGTGTTATCGGGCTGAAACCTGTAAGGTTAGACCTGCATAATATTATGTTGTTATTGCTGTATGCACGTGGTCTTAACTTTGCAAACACCAAAATTAATTTTAATTTGTTCTTGATGCAGAATCGGTCTGACGCTCAAAAAGCTCTCAACAAGAATGGAATGCAACTTAACGGAGTGCTCATAGTGGGTGTGAAGCCTTTGGATCCCATACAACGTGAGGCCTTAAATGAAAGGGTTAACAGGCAGGGATTTATGCCCATACCTCCACCATCTGCAAGAATCTCAGAAGCGAGCACCTTAAGAGCTCCTTCTCGACCCTATTATCTGCAGAACGGCAACGCAAGTGCACGGCAGAGCGGAGGTGCCATTGCTTCTCCAACAAAATCATTGGTGTCCAAAATCATGGATCTGATGTTTGGAGTCTAGATTGCCTCTTTTTTGTGACCATACTAAATCATATGGAAATTTTTTTGTGAACTGCACTGTTAAAAGTCTTTCGGCTAAATCATACATCATTAAGAGCGCAGGAGAGTCTTGTTCAATGCTGCAGAGTTCAAAATTTGGATTTGTCACTGCGAGTTGTGAGCTTGTAGCACTTGTAGGCAAAACATTATTTTCTTTTCATTTAATTGAAAGCCAAAGCATTGCTTTTGAAAGCTTTTATACCTGGAACAAGAAGCTTACGTTTTTAGACTGAATTCAAATGGAGAATGTACCTCTAAAATATTTTGTAATTATACGAGGCATGAATGTGTTGAATTGCTGCCCTTGTACTAGAATTCATTTTGGGAGATCTCATTTGGAGAGTACGTTTTGGCAGGGATCCGGATGAAAGGTCCAGAAAAGTTTATAATTGTGGTATTGAATAAACTTATATGTTGATAAGCTATTAGAAGTTTGAAATAACTCTGCGATGCGTTAATAATAATATCCAATGTATTTGGAAGCCAACAGCAAATGCTCGAAAATTTGACAGAAACGGAAGGTGTTTAAAGCACGAGGTACTGAATAAAATTTTAACATCTCAACTCTGCCATCTCAGTCAGATTCACAAAGCCTATCAATGACTCCACTTTTCGTTTCAAGTCATGTTCTTCAGATTCTCAATCTTGGATTTCAAGAGTCGAAGTAGTTCTTCGTTTGATGCTTAACAAAATGTGAACTGAACCGTCAGCTTGGAGAGACCAGCTTCGCGGTTTGAATTGTTCGAAACCTAAGTTCACGTACACGAACCAAAATGCGCACGATAATATTCTTCTACTCCACCAGTGTTGTCTTCTTTTGTTGGCTTATTTCAGGCTGTATTTGACCCATCGACGCCTTGATGATGGAGATAGTATCGTCGAAAGAATTGCTCACCTCGTCGCCTCCATTCTTCCAGATTTACGTGCGCTTGTAATTAATCTTCATTTCTTACTACTGGCATATATGTTTCGTCCTGCACCTTTGTGAAAACGCAGTTTCAAGCTCAAAAGTGGGATTGATCCTGGTTTCACTCGGAGAGACTTAAGTGCCACTCTATTTGAAATCAGAAAATTGGGCTCCCTTTAATTCTGTATTCATTTTATTTGAGCAAATGAAGCTCCATATCTTTGACTCAAATGTAAATACCAAAGAAACGTTGAAAAAAAATAATACTTTCTTCTCAGTTCTCATTTTTCTGAATGTCTAGAAAATAATGGGAGACATCAAATTTAGACCAGAAAAAAAAATCTATATGTATATTATCCCAGCACTCTTCAGCTCTTCAAAGTGCGGGTCAATTACTTTCTACTTTCTTCATATATATCCATAAATTCTGTTATTTGATTTCATGAAAGGAAATGCTATTGAATATTGATAAAATAATGATTTCCAAAGTTGCATGAACTTCGGCCAACCTAAAGTACGCCAAACTTGATACCATTACGTAACTGGCCAAATAATTATACTTTATATTCTTGTGATCGTAAAGGCTACTTCTATAAGAAAATCATACATATAACTCTTTTCTGGGGGCTAACAACTTCGTTATTATCCTCTCAGCAAAGCACAGTAACGGTAACCGCCGATGAATAATCCGCGAATAACTACCACCATGTCGAAAACCACCCAACATAACTCCCACGTCGCACCACGTTTTCAATCACTAAAATTAAAATTTGAACACTCCAACTAAAACATCTCTTATATGTCCTTATTTGTACCCTTATATATACACACGAATCAGAAGTTAGAGCCATTGCTCCTTGCTTTTTCTATTACTACCATTGCTGGTTGGTGACAGAACAAAAACAACACTAGCATGGCTTCCCATTTGAGCGTTCTCTCACTCTTACGGCCATCTTGTTGGTAATTTCCTCCATGAATGGTTCAGTCGAATCTGCAAGGCAATTCAAAGTCGGTAACGCCTTTGGTTGGCAACAACCCCCCTAACAACACAGCATTTTACACCCAGTGGGCTTCAATGAATACTTTTCAAGTTTCAGATTCTCTGGGTGAGTTTCACTTCTCCATTTTGTTACATTACAGTTTTTAGCAGAAACTACTGAAACAATGAACTTCAGAATTGTTGTGAGATTATATGTTTTGTTTGTTAAGTGCAGTCTTTGAGTACAAGAATGACTCAGTTGTTAGTGTGGACAAATGGGATTACTATCACTGTGATGCGAGCGATCCGATCACTCTCTTCAACAATGGGAATAGCACTATCAATCTGGATCAGCCTGGTTCTTTCTACTTCATCAGTGGGCTGTATGAACATTGCAGGAATGGCCAGAGATTGATGGTTGAAATTATACCTCCAGTGTCTGTTTCTGCTCCTTCACCTTCTCTTCATCATCATCATCATAGCTCTGCGGCTTCACTTTCAGTAGTTCTCACCACTTGTTTTTCCTTCATGTTGTTGGTTATCAATTTAGGTGTCTCTTCTGTTTAGGAATTATTACCATATGAACGAACTGGTTTCCCTTGTTTTATTTTAGATAATGTAGTATCGTGTTGTCTTTGATCCTCATGCTGTTTTAATTTTATGACCATGCGTTGATTTTTCTTTTGCTTGATGTAGTTCTACTTTTTAAGACGTCAAGTATTAATTACTCAGTTTGCCTCAGCTTTCTGATCTTCCACTTCTAATCACTAAATTTGAAAGTCAATTCAGAAATATGTACGGGAATATAACGATTACACAAGATTAAAATTTATGTATTTGTTCAATGATGGAGGCACGGTTATGTAAGTTACAGGAAATTAAAATACTCTAAGAAAAAATTAAGAATTTTTAGAGAAAAATTTACTTATCACTTGTGAGTTTTCTGGGTTGGTCCCACTGTACTATAAGATTCCAAATTTTTTTATCCCCGGAAGTTGATCATCAGTTTCAATGTAGAATCACTTTAAATTTCGCGAATTAAAATCTGAGAACGACGTTGAGCGAATTAAAATCACTGATCTTTGTGCGACATCGAGACCAGTTAGGATGTTGTGTGGTAAGTAACAAGAAAGCGTATAAATTACTCCATCTCTAAAGAATCTAGATCCCCTATTTATAAAAATACATGTATATAATTTTGGCTTTTTGGCAACGTATATAATGCTTTATCATATATATATATGGTTGTAATATGATATGTGAAACCATATATATCTCATTTAAATAGTTTGGATTTGATTTTTTTTTATTTGTTCAAAATAATTATTTTAATATTTATATAATCAAAATAAAATAATCTCTTAACCGTCATTTTTAAAAAAATAGTTTTTTAATTTAAAAATAATTAATTAAAGAATTTTAAATTTGATTATTTAAATATATAAACAGTCAGATCTGATGTTTAGAATACTCATCTTGATGATGACACTGAATCTGGTTCTCACTCTTAGATGATTGATCTTGAAAGATTTGTCAAGACTTACCGACAGACACGAGGGGGAATTAAATCAGAGGCCTTATTCAATTTTTGCTGCTACAAGTTGGACAAAATATATTACAGAAACAAACAAAAAAGACTTTGGAATCCAAGCAAGCTGTACGCAACTAATATTGCAAGACTTTTCTTCTACGAAGGAAGCATGATATACATATACATATATACATATAATACATTATAAGAATAGCCAAAGAAACTAATTTATAAAGAAATAAGGAGAACTAAATCAATCAGTATGAATGGTAACCCTGTAAATAAGCACTCTCAATATCTGAGTTTTTACTCTCTCTTCCAGAAGTGTCATCTCCCTTCTCCACATTCTTCCTTGTGCTTTTCCTCCACTTTGATTTCCTGTAACAGTGTTCAATCAACATGACTGTGAGGCCAATGAAGACTGCTCCCAGAGAGCCGCCTCCTACTGCTATGAGCACCACAGATAGCCATTGAAGGCCATCTCCATGAGGCAAGATCACCCATATTGCTGCAACATACCCAGTTGCAGTAAATGCCACTGACACCCACATGGCCTTGTGAGCAACCACAAGCATCCTCATGTGAGTTCTTTTTCTGAATGGAATCACACTCACAAGCACAATCACTATTGATAGAGATGTGAACAATGCTATGTTATTTGCAATTGTAAACACTTTAAAAGCTGTTACGTTTCCCGCCATTGATTTCCCTCTCATGGGTCCTTCTTGGTGCACTCCACCAGGAGGATTGATACCAGCAGCAAAAGTCACAGTAGCTATCAGAATAGTAACTAAAATGATTGTGTTTCTTGCATTTAACAATGCCTCTCTTTGCATCTCAATGTTCTCAGTGACGTTTTTCCTCTGTGTTCTGCTCTGACCCTTGTGTTTCCGAGCGATTTCTGGGGGGAAATCGTCAAATTTATAACTTTGATTCTCAAATCTGTTGAGAGCTTGAGGATGAGGAGATGTGTTTTTGCTGGCTTCTGGGGGGGTTATGGATTCATAAGAGATCATTTCATAATTGGGGAATTCAAGATCGTTTGATTTATTATCATGGGTTCGTGACAGAGAAAGCCTAGAAGTTATGGGCGATAGAGAATTATTGGAGGCTTCTGGCGGTTCAAGTGAAGAAGATGGAAAGTGGTTGCTTCTTTTGGCGCCTGCTCTGATGAGCATGGCTTGAAGTTGCCTGTTTTCTGAAGTGTCCCTAGCCTGTTCTAGCATGTCTAGTGCTGTGACCCCTTCATTGTTCCGAGTATTTATGTCCAGATTTGTCTTGTTGATCAAGAACTCAGCTATCTGCAAATCATAAGACAAAAACACGAGCTTGGTTAATCCTTGTAAGTATCAATTTCATCCGGAAACATATATAGTGTTTTTGGCCTGTGGTTCTGGTCAATTTGATTAAGATCCTTAAAATCTTGTCAATAAGAAATCGGGCATAATAGTTAACATTAATCAAAATCTATAATACCAAACATTATTGTCGTATCAGTGACACATCATGTCTTAAAAACTCGGGTTAAAATCAACCAAAATTAGCCAAAATCTATATTACAGCACATTATTGTCACATTAACAACATGTCATCTCTGATAACTTTGATAAAAATTAGCCATAATTTTAAGTACTAATATCTCACTAACAAAATTTCTGGAATTTTATGGAAGAAAGTCCTCATAATTGCTTACCGCATGGCGTCCAGCAGTAACAGCAAGATGCAAGACGGTGTTTCCATGTCGATCCTGACAGTAAAGGAGGTTGGTGCCATTGGAGACCTGGGCCAAGAACACCAGAGCATCATAGTGTCCATATCTCACAGCCAGGTGGAATATGGTCTCTTCTTCTCTGGTTGGATAATGAAACGACGCCGCATTGCACGACACAAAGTCTTGCAGGATCGAGACCCTGCCATTAATGGCCGCCAGGTGCAGTGGGGTATAGCCATTGTTGTTGAACTGTAGAGCAACGTTCGGGTCTCGCCTCAGAAGCATCCACACCATCTCCCTGTGCCCTTTGCAACAAGCATGGTGTAATGGCCAGTTCCCTTCATCGTCCACCACCTCAAGAAGATAAGGCCACTTGTCTATCAGTTCTCTCACAACATCTGCATCAGAATACACGAGATCAGTTATGGAACTGGTTGAGATAGTGGTTTAATGGTCAGTAGTTCATCGGTTAGCCTGGCTGATCCGGCATGAGTTTTAATAGCATGAGGAAGAGTTTGAGATCAACGTACCAGTGTGTCCTCTAGAAGCAGCGACGTGAACACATGTGGCATCAAAACTGGGTTCCTTTGGGTCTGTATCAGGAAGATTAAGCAGAAGAAGATGCACCATCTCGAGGTGGCCATGGCTGCAAGCTACATGAAAGGCACTTTTGCCGCTGGAGTTGAGCTTGGCTACACCGTTGGGATTCACCGCAAGAAGTAATTTTAGGACCTGCACGTTCCCTTTTTGGCAAGCCTCGTGAAATGGAGTGTCTTGCTTCTTGTTCTCGGCATCCACCATTTCCGGGCACAACCTCACAATTTCCGAAACTGCTTCTATGTTGCCATATCGACAAGCAAGATGTAACGCCGTGCTCAGAGACTTGTCTGTTCTCTGATGTAACACCGCTTCGTTCTCTTGAATTAGCCTTATCAACGTTGGCGTGTCGTTTTTCTTGATTGCATCAAGAAGCTTCTGATCCATCATCTTCGATTTCTCGTATACGTACTGAGAAGATGAGCTTAATTTGCGTTTGTTGTTGTTCTTCTTCTTCCTCCTCTGCCCCCATTTATAAAGGAGCCAGAATCCGCCACGCAATTAGCTTGCGAGAAAGATAGAGAATTTGCAGGGAAACTTTGAGGGAAGATTCCCACTGGATGATGTATAGTAGGAAAGATGTCTAGATGACGTGTGTTATTTTCGCCATCATTAATGTTAAGAAGTTTCCTTAGGAAATAATTTGGGTGGACGCGCACGAGCGGGCGTTGATGAAATTGTGGTGTTGCTTCCGAAGAGTAATGATAGAAAGCTGCTTTTGTGTTAAAGTCAGCGTGACATGGGCTTTAAATATTAACTACGTTTGAAGACTTTCTATTATTGTCAACGGAGAATAAAACACGTCAAATGTTAAATTAAAAAGATATTATGTGATTATTAAGGAAATAATCAATCAGAAAACGTCAATATTTTAGCCATCAAATAAGCAAAAGTTTGCCGTTTTGTTCAAGTTGTTCGATTCTAGTTCTTCTTGTTTTGTTTTTTTTCCCCCTCGTGATGATCATGATTCACGAAAGTTATCTTCTTTTTGAGAGCGAAATTATAAACACCAAGTTAATCATACAGGAGAGAAAACTCTTGGAATTTTCTTCAGGGACGTTTTGTTGCTAAGTTTCACAAACAGAGATCAGATTCAAGTTTCGTGCAGGAAAACACTTGGCAATGAAATCATGAGATTTTTTTCCCATATACTTTTTCATGATCTAGATTTGGGTTGCATAAATGATCCATTCAATTATCTCTATGTAATATATATTTATACTTATATAGACACATACACTCTATCTGTCTTTCTCATAAAATAAATTTCCTATTTTATACAAATAAAAAAAAACTTAGTTGATGTCTCTAAAATCATCTTATCTTTCCATAAATACTTTCAATAAATAATCCTCTATTTTCCCTAACTCTTGTTAATTAAAAACACCCTTTTTAGTTGCTGTCTATATTTCATAATACCCAAAAAAAAAAAAAATCTCATGAAAAGAGGCAGAGCTAGAAAGTATACTGCACAATTGAAGAAGAGAATCAATAACGTCCAACAAAAAAAAGACAACAAGGCCCAACTAGTTAAGCCCATTATTGCTTTTGGGCTAACTTGTTCGTAACTTCCATTCTAAGTTTAACTTTCAAACTTGTCTATAACGTAATGATCCAAAATTCGAATCTAAAAATTGAAGTATTAATAGAAGGATACCTATACTTTAGCAAAAAAAAATTTTTTTTTTTTTTAGCAAAAACTTTCAATTATTTTTAACAGTCCAAAAATTTGAAGCATCTTCTTTAGATCATAGTGTTTGATTTTTATAAATATCAAGAATTAAATGAATGTTGATCAATTCAAAAAATAAATAAATAAAAAGAGAGAAAAGGGCTAGTGTCTCGCCCATAGGTGTGTGGAAGGGATAAGGTCACCAAGTGTTGTAAGTAAAAGAAAACGAGTTTACATATATAAATATAATTGAAATAATCTTTTTGAAAATAAATAAATATTGGGGAAGTGACATTACAATAATTAATGGAAAAAACAAAAGAACCAACCACTATATCCATGAAAGGAATCGAACTCTGCTTTTAGAAGAACCTAAATTGCATGTGACATGGAAGATGAAGTGACTTGAGAGATTTAATCTTAAGAGAAATACACTTTTTCTATATTACTTTCTGACTCATAAGCACATGCACAACTTTTTCAACTAATAATTAATAAAGGTTCATTTCTAGATGATTGATACGACTCATAACAAGTTTTATAAGCATTGTGAATTTGATTCTATATGCATTCCTCAATTTTTAACACTAACAACTTCTTCGAAATTTATATATATTAAATAAACTTTTAATTTGATCCCTTAATTTTATCAAGTATTTTTTTAGTTATTTAACCTTAACATTATTTGTATCGAATAGTAATTTTTTGATGCTATTTATTATTATTTTTAAAAATTAATATGTTAGCATTTGAACATGTGTTGTGAATATTTAAAATTTTGATGTCAACGTGTTACAATTATAAAAATGTAAACATATTTTATAGACTCAAAGGATCAAAATTACAACATTGAGAAGTTAAATGATTGCATGTGTACTCATTCTATCTTAAACATAGGAGTAGGTCAGAGAGTTGATTTTGATTATAAATATAATATCTTAATTTACCTTTTTCTCATATATATCATTTTTAATTACCAAACTAATTAATATTATAGAGGGTTACATCACATCTATTAAAATTATGTAATTTATTTAGTTTTATTAATATTAGTTAAGTAATTCTTACATTAATTTGATGAGTGTATACGAACAAAAGCCGGGGATTCGTTTGATAAATTTTGCCAAAAATAAACAACGGCAACTGCATGGGAAGCAAAAAATGATTTGGATGGTTACGAATTACGTACGATCAACCTATTATATGGAATAATTTTTTTGCCTCATTATTGTAAATTTGTTCATACCGGTTGACACGTGTCAGGGTCATTTAAGAAATTTTCAAGTGGGACAGAAGTGAATAACAGAAAGATGGGACAGAAAGAGAATCTCACAAAATAATATTAAAAGAATTATTATGAGAATATAACTTCTTACATTAAAACTTGTCACTGTTATCACCAAAAAAAAAAAAACTTGTCATTGTTTGAAGAGGAAGTAATCATGTTTTATTCTTATCTTCTTTTCTCTTTTCTTTTTTAATAATTATTCAATCAATATTTAAATGTTTGGCTTTAAAAAAATTAATATTTGAATGATTCAGATCTGATTTTTTTTATAAAAACATTATCAAAATATTAAATTACAAATTTAAAAAATTAATTAGATTTAAATGACTGAATTTTGTCATGAATAATGTGTATTACAATAAAAAAAATGTTCGCATAAAATCAAATCTGAACAATTTAAATATTGAAGTTATTATTAGAAGAAGAAAGATGATGGAAATGGAATGCTAGGAGTTTTACGTGTCGTTGCTTGTTGCTTTGTTATAATTGAAATTTAATCCTATCATAATTTGCTTAACAGCTAAATATGTTGGTGGTTTTAAATTTGAGCCCATCCCTTTCTTTCCCGAAATTACGGCATGTGCAAATTTGTTTGATATTTTATAAGGTTAAGGAGGAAGCTAATTAATTAGGCCTAACTTAGACTCAAAAATACTCAAAAATAATTATTAAAAATGCTATAAAATTGTGCATCATCTATTTATTTATTTTAAAAAATCATAAAAATTCAAACTGCACCGTTTTTATCTATAAAATATTATAATGTTACTCATTTTATGTAGAATTTAATGATAAAAAAATATTTGAGAGGTTGGGATTAAAAAGTGGGGTATTGAAGGCCGCTTGTCCTTTATATTATTTTTATATATTTGCTACTTGCTAGTGTTTAGTTCTTTTAAAATAATTATCAACCCAAAATAATTTTTTCGATAAGTAACATGCTTAATTGATATTTAATTGTTAATTCGAATATAAATGTTGGAACAAGAAAAACAAATTCAATCTAATTTGAAAAACAAACAAAGGGAATCGGATCTAAGTGCATCACAGCCAAAGGGGTACAGTGACTATACAATCATTTCAAGAACCCACCATCCCTTTATTATTAAAGATCACAATCTCCTTGTGTGTGTGTGGATATATCCTTAACCACACAATAATTAAAGTACAAATATTTGGATATTTCTAGCAACTTGTAATCCAATTTTCGGGGTTTCAAAATAAAGTAACTTTCTTGATGTGGCTCTTTCTACCTACACACAAAAGACTTTTTTTTTTTTTGGGTCCAAACCTACACACAAAAGACTAAAATTAAAGACTTTATCTGGATTATATGGACACACACACACACACACATATATATATATATATATTAATTTTTTAGTAGACTCAATTGACTTTATTCAAAAAAAATATTGATTACTTTCAACTATGCGGTCGGCTGCAAATAAATATCCAAATTTAAGTGTACGCATGCTAAGCCGCAAATTTTAATTAATTTTGTTTGCTTCCCACTTTTAGAGGTTTCCTGAATCATTCAACTTTTCTTTGGTTTAGATGGGATATGATAATATTGCCAACTTAAGGAAATCTTTTTTCCTTTTTAATTTTAACCAATTAAGAAATAAAACATAATTAAGCAAGACTTCAGGGTTCGATCTATAAATAACTATATTATCATTTACACGTATAGGTTTTGCAAAAGTCAAATACAAGCATTATCATCAAGCTAAGCACATTGTACTCAAAATGGCAAAAAATATGCATAATTTGTGAAACACAAACTACTGTTTTTTTCCTAATGAATTTGGCTTTCAAAAAAACAAATCAATTTGAATTGACATTTCTTTAATTTTGAATCTTATAATCTTCATAATTAGCAAGGGACGTAATTCATCTAACAAACAATTCAGATAAGAATTCCCTACATAAATTGTTTCTTCGTGAAGTAGTTTCTGAGTATTCGAGGAAAATTAATAATATTATGGACATGGAATACAATATTAACTCAACTCATTTTCTTTCCCTGGTTTTCTTTATTTTATGATCAAAATTTTTAATGATACAAACTTTAACAAGTTTCTGTCGTTTTGACCAGCCATGTTAATTATTTCTTCTTCCTAGGCTTCTAGCTAGCAAGCATTAAGAAGGGATATTGGTTTTCTTGTCCATTTTAGCTTTACTTTTGCTTTTATAGATCAGTATAATTAAGATAATTTAAGCTCTTTTAATTGGTTGATCTTAATGAACTGATTACCAAAAACAAAAAAAACACAGAACATAAGTCTTTCATCCGAAATCACGCATGATATATACCATTTCAATTTGGCATTTTGATATTATAGAATTAGAAGGATAATGTAAACTTAGTTTTTTTAAGGAATTAAAATAAGTCTGAATGAAATTCTCACATGATAAATAAAACAATATTTAAATGATCACACACATACACATCTTTGTGTTAGACACAGTTTATAAACAATTTAATTAGGCTCCATCTCCGATCCACTCTTTTAAAATTAATTAACAATTTAACACCCGATATTTCCCAATTACTTGGCTAATTGATAACGATATTAGTTACTATCTCTGATTCTATTTCAAGGGCATAAAGAAAGAATTTTGGCTTATCCTTAATATAGAATTCTTCCTCCTCGTCCTTTCTATGATCTATCTTTCCAACACGCACGCACAAACACACATTTCTCTTTCATTCTTCTGTGACGATTCAATTATTGAAGAAAGCTAATTGGTTGG